GCAGCAGAAATAATTGGTGTTGTTTGGTTTTGCTGCAGGCCCTGGCTTTAATCCCCTCAGCAGCAGCAAACCCAGAGGCGCTAAAGAGATGCAACACCCTTATTCTCAGGTGAGGGTTTAGGGTTTGTAGACATAAGGGTTTAGGGTTTGTAGACATGAGGGTTTAGGGTTTGTGGATACGAGGGTTTAGGGTTTGTAGACATGACGGTTTAGGGTTTGTAGACATGAGGGTTTAGGGTTTGTAGACATGAGGGTTTAGGGTTTGTGGGTATGATGGTTTAGGGTTTGTGGGTATGAGGGTTTAGGGTTTAGGGTTTTTAGAGGTGTTTGTTTCGCTTGAGTGCTGGGGGTTTGCGTCTCTGTCTTTCTTTTCTCAGCGCAAACCCTAAACCCTAAACCCTAAACCCTAGTTGCGTTGTTTGCTTGCTGCTGCAGCGAGGGTTTGCGGTTTTCTCCGCAGCCCCCTCAGGGCGCCGCCTCCTGTACGCCACAGTCGAAGCAGCTAGCAGCAGCAGAGACAGCAGCAGCAGCAGCAGCAGCAACAGAGGCTGCTGCTGCTGCTGCTGCTCAAGCAGGAGGGATTGTGCTCTGGTCGTGCCCCTCTAGCAGCAGCAACAGCAGCAGCAACAGCACAAGCAACGGCAGCAGCAACACCAGCAGCAACACCAGCAGCAACACCAGCAGCAACAGCTGCAGCAACGGCAAGGGCAACAGCAGCAGCAGCAAACGGGGGCCCCCATCGGACATATACCCTTGGAGTCTGCTTCCTGCTCTCAGCCGCTGCACTTCTGCTGCTTTTCTGGAGCCCCCCAATGCAGCAGCAGCAGCAGCAGCAGCAGCAGATGTGCAGCCAGCTGAGGCTGGCTTTAGCAGGGGTAGTAAGAAGCACCGCACGTCAGCAGCAGCATCTGTTGCAGCAGCAGCAGAAACAGCAGCAGCCGAGAGCTTAGGTGTTGCTGAAGCTGCTACAGTCATGGGTGCAGCTGCAGGTGGCTCTGCAGCAGCAGCAGCAGCAGCAGCAGCAGCAGCATCTGCTACAGCAGCTGCTGCTGCTTTACCGTCACTGGAGCTGTGCAGCCGCAGCAGCAAAACCCCGTTCCGTGGCTCTGTCCACCTCGCCCTCCGCACTAGCAGCAGCAGCAACAGCAGCAGCAGCAGCAACAGCAACAGCAGCAGCAACAGCAGCAGCAGCAGCATTAGTTGGGGGCGGCGGCAGACAACTCGCCGCAATTTGCTGCGATTGGCTGCGCGCATTCGTGCAGATGGAACGCATGCAAGGAACGAATAAATGAATAAATAAATAAATAATTAATTAAATAAATATTAATTTATTTATTTATTTATTTATTTATTTATTTATTTGTTTTGTTTGCTTTGTTTTTTTAGATATAACTCATTTTGGTTTAGTTTTTTAATATTTGTTTGATTATTTTCTCTGTAATTTATTTAATAGGATAAATTAACTAAATAATTTGCATGTATAAATATATATATACTTATTGATTTATAGATATATAGATATAGATATAGATATAGATATAGATATAGATATAGATATAGATATAGATA